TTCTTCTTTTTTAATGAACTACTTATTGTTTATGAAGACATGAAAAACAAATTGTCAAAAAAGAATAGTGGCTGTCATCGCAGTAATTCCACTGAATAGGATGAAAAGTGTAACAGAAACATTTTAATTTTGGGAACTTTTGTGGAGCATGTATATTTTATTTTTGGTGCCTTTCCTCTAAAACTTCACAACATCTGACTTCTGAGCATCAGTGGTGGGATTTCCTGCTGATCTTATCAGTTAGATCCTGAAACAATGGCCTCTGCCCCCACAACTTTCTGCACTAGGCCCATCTGAAGGGTAGCTTTGTGTGTTGTTGCCCATCCCTGGGTTTCCTCTCATGGCCAGATGTGCTCTTACTTTTATGAGCTGGAGTCTAAGGAGACAAATAATGAGGAAAACAGCATGACAAAAAATAACTCATTCCTCTTCACCACAAAGCAGATTTTAGTATCTCCAGGCCCTCTTCCACATGCTCCCTACTCTCACTACAAATCAGAACATTGTCTGCAAACATCACAAGAGTTCATCTATCCTCAACTGTCCATCATCAATGAAGAAGGAGCTCAGAGCTGATCCCCGTATGAAACCATCCGTCTCCTTAATCTCACACCCCACCGCTGTCTTGCTGTTTTTGTCCCTCACATACAAATGTGTTGAAAACACCTAATGACAAAAGCGGATACTTAAAATATCAATTATAACCACTTCTAAGATCCTCATACAGTACAGCAGCTCCTCTTATGGCACACTATCAACTCCTACCTTTAGACCTACAGAAACACAGGTCAACTCCTAACCCCCTTTATACTTCTCTGTTAACAATTTCAAAGCAAGCATCTGTCAGCTATATATCTGTCAGCATACTGAATTACAACAACTTAAGTACACAACAGTGATAATAATGAATAACAATCATTAACTCAATTTTTAAGCAAACATGATTAGGTTTAAAAACTGATTAAATTGAATCTGGTACAACTCATGACTGCTGATTTTATGTCCAATAACATCAGCTCTTAAACTATCACTGCCAAACCAAACTATTTGTTTAACAAGAACCTGTCAATGTTTTTTGAGCACATTTGAACCATGATGATGCAAAAAACAGGGACCAAAAAAACCTCTGCTCAATATTCATATTTTAATTTACATTGACACTTGTAACAGCAACAAATCTGATTCACACAGCTGTAAAACTTTTAATAAATATTCAAATGAAGAACTTGCAAAGTGAAGGAAGCAATAACATGAAAAGCAATCTTTATTATCAAATAAATGTCCTTCATAGCTTTAATATTTGGTAATAAAATCACTTGGAATTACATTGTTGAATAAGAATAACTAGATCTGGTCACGAGGAACATTTAGCTTTGGAAGTCAGTTAACTAATTTAACAAAATTATTAAAACTGGGGAAAAAATGGACCAAAATAAAAAACGTTGGCCAAAAGTGAACAGTTTTTTTACGTTACCATGGTGACCAAAGCAGATTCACCACCTGAATCTAGACAGTAATCTGTGTGCACATAAGAAAATACAGCATAATAAAACTCTGCATCAAAGTACCAATTCTTCATTAAGATAAACATCTTCAAAAACACTAACATTACTTTACAATATACACACATTTATATTTACAACAACACAAAAGCAATAAGACTGTGGGGTTTCAGTAGACTAAGTGACTTAATGAATCTTTAATGGCACCTGTGGATAGTATTTCTTTAAACTACATGCAGTCATACACATGGACGTGGACGTGCTTGCTCTCTCGCTCTCTCACACACACACGTTCTTGTAAACATACGTTTGGGGGACTTTACATGGACTTCCATTCATTTCCTATAATCTAACCCTGATCCTTACCCTAAACCTAACCCCTTACCCCCCACCGAGACTTCTCCTTATGGGGACCTGGCTTTGGTCCCCATAAAGAGCAGTTGGTTCCCACAATGCATGTTTTTTTTTTGCAAAATTTGTCCTTACAAGGTAACCTGACACAAAAATGCACATACACACACACACACACACACACACACACACACACACACACACACACACACACACACACACACACACATTCCTGCACACAACTGATCACACGTGTTCATATGAACAAACAGGACACTTTCCTTGTACTGCTGAGAACAACATCCACCAGTGGGGGGGATTTACAAAGGTCTGGACTGATACAGACTACTGGCAAAGAGGTGATGAAAATCCCATTTCCGACAGAGGAAACAACTGGATGCAAAGAAGAGAGAGGGACAGCAAGGAAACCAGCTACTGGCCGGAGAACAATGAGACACACTGAGTCCTGTTCTTAGTGTCAACACCTGACTCTTTTCCTTTGGCCCAGTCACCTCAGTGATCACTACAATCCACATAATGGCATATCATGTTAGAACTGAACAGACCAGGGCTATTCAACTGGCGGCCTGCGGGCCGTGTCCGGCCCGTGGGTAACTTCAGTCCGGCACACCAATGAGTTAACTTAAAAAATAATAATAACTGGGGGGTGGAGGGGTGGGGTTCGGTTCTGTTTATTGCTTTTATGATTCAATGCAATAAAACAAATTTAAAAGGTAACAGATAATTTTAATACTTGGTTTATTTACATAATGACTTTAATTGCTGGATGTCCGGCCCCTGAGCTGCTCACTTTCAGAAACGGTGCCCCCCATGACCAGTTTTGTTGTATAGCCCTGATATAGACTCATCCTACGATATATTGTGCCAATTAAATAACAAGGTTGCTAGCACCGGGGTGAGACTACACCAGTTGTCTGTTAGTAAAAACAACTTCCTGATCCTTCATAAAGGGACAGAAGACAAAAAGGATCAGAACACGTCTGAGAAATGGCAGTATTCTAGCCCACAGTTGTAAACAAATATACAGGGGGTGCTGCAGGAAACAACAGCAATATACATTTTTACACAACATCCGTCCAGAAATGACCAGCTTATGGAGCAAAGCAAAGATAATTACAAAGGCTTGCAAGTTGCACAGTTTGCATGTCACTACTTAAATTCAGTGAACCAGGCCAATAGAAATGATAGCAGACCATATCAATATCTATGCCATGTCTGAAAACAGCTGTACGCAATCATGCACTGACTTGTGGTTGTTGCTTACAAGGTCTAGAAATTTATTAACCTTTAAGTATTGACATCTAAGGTTAAAGTAGCATAAATGTATTTCTTAATAAACTTGAAGCACTTATAAGCTTGTCATTGACCATGCTGTTTAATAGCTTGTACGTTTGTTTCTCCGTTTCTCTGTTTAAATTGGCCCCCAAATGTTTCTTCTTCATGTAGCATAGATCTGTAGTCCAAAGTAATACTGACAAAAAAAATAAATGCAAAAAAGTTGCATGACACAATAAGTGGAATGAAATGAAGTTTGAGTGCCTTGTTTTGAAACCCTCTCAACAATTGCAGCAGCAGCCAATCTGAAATCCTACTTCAGTTTCCAAGATGGAAAATTATGATGGAGAGTCACTCAAAAGAAAAATAAATAAGTAGTTTAACTTTATTAGGTTTAAACTTAAATGTGTTATGTTTGGAAGAAAAACAATAAATGGAGAATACATTTGAAATGTTGAGAAAAAAGTTCAGATGCTGATAAAAGTAAAAAATATTAGGAATGATGTTGAAATATTGAGATTTCACTTAAAATGTAGAAATGTCAGGTGCAATGTTTAGATTAAAGTTACACAACTGACATTAAACATAAATGTTGAGAATAAAGTCAATCTGGTATTTCAAGAACAAAGTCAGAATGATGATGTAAAGTTATTTTGCCGTTAAAAAGCAAACCTGCATTAACAGTAAACTTTGTGTAAATGAGCACGTGACGTAAAATGGGTTCTAATAACAAAGGTGATTTTCAGATCGTTCAGTGACAGGTTGCACATCCTGTAAATTACTTCTCCAAACTCCTGGTGGTTTAGGTTGCAACGTGACTTTTAATCGTTTTAAAAACTGAAAATATTGTTCAGGAGCACAATGTGGTTTTCTTTATCAGTTTGAAATTACTCTTGAAATATATATTTTTAAAGCTTTATTCGCAACATTACAATTTTGGGGCAGTGGTGGCGCAGAGGTAAGAGAAAGCTAGCCTGTGATCGGAAGGTTGCCAGTTTGAAAACCTGGACTGACAACATCAAAATGTGGGTGGGAAAAGTGAAACACCCACACCTGTCTCCACCCTCATTTGTCCCACTCTGGGCCCTTGAGCAAGGCCCTTAACCCCCACCACCTGCTCCCCCAGGCACCCTAGATGGCAGCTCTCTGCTCCACACAGAGGCTGTGGTAGCTCGGTGTCTGTGGTTGCATCAGGAAGGACATCTGGTGTAAAACCAGTTGCCAAGTCTTGTGCGAGTTAGTTTGCTGTGGTGACCCTGAAGAAGGGAGCAGCTGAAAGAAGTAACACATCTCAACGTTTCAGCTCTGTTCTCGGTTCGACAACTTGATTGGGGACGTGAGAACTTTAATCTCAAAACTGGGAAACTGAATAAAATCTTGCTCCTCATTTACTCCGTTATTCTTTTGAGTGACCTTCAGAAAACAAACAAATTAAAAACAAAACTGGACAATTGTTAAATAGAAACAAAATGCTCATAGACAGAAGACAATTTTTACACATGGACTGCATGAAACCACTGTTAATGAAATGTATAAGAACTTGAAAACAGTAAAAAAAAAGAACCAAACAAAGTGTAATGATGAAGTTTGTGACAGTCTTTGAGGAACAGTAAGTTCCTCTGCCCTCCTGGTCCTGAGCGGGGCAGCAGCAGTCCCTGTCCTCCCAGCAGTTTGTTGGTGACAACAGTGACAAAGATCAATTCTTCCACTGGAGTTTCTTTCTGTTCAGAGACGTCAGTCATGTGTGACAACAACTGTTGCTGGTCCCAGACAAGTGCTCGGCTGATTTGATGATTCGTGGAGGACTGTTGCAGGCACTTAATGAGGCAGCCAAACACTTTGGGCGGATCTTTACACCCACTGAGCTTCAGGTAACGTCCCCTCCACAGAGATCTTTTGCTGAACCAGTAAAGGCTGTGTTGGAAGTGCGCTGTTATTGTTGACTGGGTCAGGAGGGGCTGTGCTCTGTGAACTGGGCTCCTCTTTTGCTCTGGCCACCACGGGGAGTCTGGAACTGAAGTTCAGATAAATCTAAAAGGAAAAGAGAAATCAACCAGAGAACTGACCTGCAAACCTTTGAAATTCTAAAGGTTTGAATATGCCAAAAAAACAACAGCATTCTTCACATCGTACTGCCATAACTTTTTGGGGATAAATTCACATGTAGAAACAAACAAAATAAAAGAATAGTGACATTGTGGGACCAACAAAGTCCATGCTCAATAATCCAGGTATACAATCCAATAATTTTCAATCAGGTCATCTGGACAGTTTCTTCTTGTTTTTGTGCTGAACCGAGGTGTTTATGGTTCTGACAATTTTATCATTTTAAAACTAGAGAGACCAAGAGCAGAGCTCATGTCATGTCATTCAGATCTGGCATTAACCTGAATCCTAAATGATCAGATCATGGAGTTAAATGCAGATGTGAAGGCAGTCTGGACGGAATGAAAACACATTCAGATCCAGTGACAGATCACATTCAGAGGTGGCCTGAGGTTTATTGAACATGAATGGATGGATCGATGAATTGATGGGTGGATGAATGGATGTATGGATTGATGAGCAGATGGATGGATCAATGAATGGATCGATTAATTGATGAGGGGATGGATGAATGAATCAAAGAATGATGGATGGATGGATGGATGGGTGGAAGGATAGATGATGGATGAATCAATGAATGGATGAATGGATGGATGGATCGGGTTGTTCTGGTGATTGTCATGTCAGGTAGTTGGGTCAACTTCCAAAAGAAAGTTGATTATTTCATCTCAAGCAAGTCAAGTTAGACATTTAGAAACACTTTACATTCTTGTTTTTTAGTTGTTTTCTTTATGTTGTTGTATGGAAGATAAAGCAATATGCAAAAATATCTTGTAAACAACTTTTATGACTATAGGAACATAAAAAAAGAGTTTAACTTGAGCCATAACCTTAATTTATAGCCTAATTAAGACCATAAAGAACCAGAGTTCTTCAGGGAGCAGTTTTCTTAAAGCAAGTGAATTTGAACCTTGTGTAGCAAAAGAAAATATAAATAAAGGAGTTCAACCTACATGCTTAGTGGCATCTGACAGCTGTTGCTCTATACACTCGACGACCTTCCTGAAGGGGGGTCTTTCAAAGGGGTCAGGATCCCAGCAAGACCACATAATCCGATACCTGCAAAGAAACAGGCAAACCTATAAACAAATGTTCTCAACTACGGCTTTCACATTGTTTTTTTATGTTACATTATTTATTATTCCATCAAATAGTCTTAACTTTTCCTGCTTTTTGATTATTCACGTGAGAAGCCAAATACAATAGGATGAGAGCCGACTGTGATTCATATCCCCCACATTCCTTTTTCTCATCGTCCCAAACCAACATCAATCTTTTTGAGCTAAGTCATATTTCAAACCAACGAAAACTCACATGTCACTGGGTGCAAAATCTGGACTGTCCATTCTGTATCCTTCTTTTATCAGTTTGTAGAACTTGGCATCCACAGGCATACCAGGATAAGGACTGTTTCCTACGTTCAACAGAAATATTGGGTTACATTATGCAACTCTAAAACCCCACAGCTGGTCAGACACATACATGCAGAGTACAGCACTGTGAATAGAGAAACATACCCAGGGAAAAAATCTCCCACAGCAAGATGCCGTAGGACCACACGTCACTCTCAAATGTGTACACACACTCAAAGATACTTTCAGGGGACATCCACTTCACGGGCAGACGGGCCTAAAAAAACATTCAATGAAATGACTGACAGCTACAAAACATCACATTTATTTAAAAACTGTGACTGAAGTGACTAGACTGTACTAAACAACAGAAATGCATTAAGTACTTGCTTGAGATTTCTAAAACTATGAAGGTAGCACACAGGTAGGTTAGTACACAGCACATCTGTGACATTTATTATGTAAAGAACAATGTTTCAAATGATCAAAGGACAGCATAATTCAACACAGGCAATAACAAAATAGGAAAGAAAAAATCCTTAAAGTATTTCACAAATCATCAAAAACTTGCGTAACCAGAAATTATGAACACAGAAAATTATTTTGGAGTTAGATTTTCCACGGTTCTCTTTTTGAGCTAAAGTGAACCATATTCCATGAGCAGTTTCATGGAAACTTTAATTTTCTGTGAACTGTTTTAATAATGGCTGAAACATCTCGAGTCCAAAAGAAATTGTATATTATAAAAGTTACTCCAAACTGCAAGACTACGTGAAACAGTCCAATGTAACTATGGTAATAGTAGGACAAGAAAAGAGCTGGTTGCTGGTATTAAGAGGGCCAAGGCCACATATGCAAAGAGGATCGAGGGTCAATTCATCTCACAAGACCCTCGGAGCATGTGGAGGGGCATTAAGTGCATAACAGATTATAAAGGAAGGAGCGAACAATGCCCCAAAGACCCATCTCTGCCTGATGCCCTCAACAAGTTCTATGCACGCTTTGAAGACCCGAACAGACCAACCAGCACCAGACTCACCTCACCACCGGACGAAGAGCATCTCAGCGTGACCTCAGCAGAAGTAAGGAGTACCTTCAGGAGGATTAATCCGCACAAAGCAACTGGCCCAGACAACATCCCCGGAAAAGTGTTGAAGGAATGTGCTGATCAGCTCTGTGAGGTGCTGGCAGACATCTTTAACACCTCACTTACCCTGGAGACAGTTCCCACCTGCCTGAAGACTGCCACCATCATCCCAGTCCCAAAAAGCTCTACAGTGACTGGTCTGAATGACTATCGGCCAGTGGCCCTCACCCCGATAGTCGCTAAATGCTTCGAAAAACTGGTCATGACTCACATCAAAACAACCATCAACATCAACGAGGACCCTCATCAGTACGCATACCGTGAGAACCGATCAACAGAGGATGCAATCTCCTCTGTGGTCCACACTGCGCTCAACCACCTGGAGCAGAAAAACTCTTACGTCCGTATGCTCTTTGTGGACTTCACATCCGCCTTCAACACCATGATCCCCCAAACCCTGATGGACAAACTATCCACACTAGGACTAAGCCCCTCCATCTGCAACTGGGTACTAGACTTTTTAACAAACAGACCACAGTTAGTGAGGATCCACAACCTCTCCTCCTCCACCATAACCCTCAGCACTGGCTCTCCTCAGGGATGTGTGTTGAGCCCCCTCCTGTTTACTCTGCTCACGTATGATTGTGCAGCTACCCATCCAGGCTGTCACATTGTAAAGTTTGCAGATGATACAGCGGTGGTGGGATGCATCACAAACAATGATGAGTCCAGCTACAGGCAAGAGGTGGAACACCTGGAGAGCTGGTGCAGAGAGAATAACCTTCACATCAATGTGAAGAAGACAAAGGCGATGATTGTGGACTTCAGAAGGAACAAAAACATCTACACCCCCCTGAACCTAAGAGGATCTGTGGTGGAAGTGGTCTCCAGCTACAAGTACTTGGGTGTGCACCTGAAGAACAACCTCAGCTGGAGCAACAACACCACCAGCCTGATCAAGAAAGCTCATCAGAGACTCTACTTCCTCAGACGGCTGAGGCGAGCTGGTCTGGGAAGCTCAGTCCTCACCTCCTTCTACAGGTGTGCAGTGGAGAGCATCCTGTGCTCGAGCATCAACGTGTGGCATGGAGGCTGCACAGATGCAGAAAGAAAAGCTTTGCAGAGAGTGGTGAAGGCTGCACAGAAATCTGTTGGAATCAGCCTCCCCACCATCACAGACATCTACACCTCAAGATGCAGGAAGAGGGCCACCTGCATCATGAAGGACCCCACTCATCCAGCACACACACTTTTTGCCCCACTCCCCTCAGGAAGGAGGTTAAGGAGCATTAAGTGTAGAACCACTAGACTGAGGAACAGCTTCTACCCTGAGACTGTTAGACTCATGAATCTCTAACTAGAATAATCACTGTGAAAAACCATATCATGTTGCTGCTGATCTGTTTCATGTTGCTGCTGATCTGTTTCAATGTTGATGTGTTCATGCGTGCACATCTGCTCACAGACTCATGTTCATGTTTGTGCTGATGTTCAATGTTTTATGTTATGAGTGCTTAGTGTATATTTAGTTGATGTTTTTCTTAGTTCATATCTTAGATGTTATTACTGTTTTTCTTTTACATTTTATTGTTGGATGTAACTGGGACCCTGTGTACATAATTTCGCTCCACCACATGTACCACATGAGGTGCGAATGACAATAAAGAAACTCTGACTCTGACTCTGATAATTATAAAAGAACAGGACAAATAGATTTTGTAGGACTTTCCTGAAATGTATATTTTTTATTCAGCAAACTGCATCAAAACATCAAGAAATTAAACCACAGCTTCTCAAACTCCCAAGTGTCAGTCAGTAACTTATTGGAAAACAGGTACCGTCATTTCCAAACTATAAGCTGCAACTTTTGTCACAGGCCTTGAAAACAGCTGCTTGTACAACGCCGCAGCTGATTTATGGATTGATTGATTTTTGACGGGCTAACAAGCTTCATGCCACCAAAACATTTAACCTCGTCACACCTAGGCACTCACATAGCTGCCCAATACATGTCTCTCTCTTGTGGGTGGGGGTAGAGTGTGTGTGGGGGGGTGGGGGGTCCTCGTGACTCAATGAGACTACCTTTGTAGATAAAGGTTAAAAAAATCTGATAAATGAAATGACCAAACAGGTCACAGTTCCCCCCTTCCCCCCCCCCATTATCTTCTCCCCTCCCAATGCCCATTGGCACTGAACAGAAACACTCATATATAAATAAATTAAATAAGTTAACACTGTTTATCTGAGCCACTCGACATCAGTGTGAATCGTGCATTAATGTGGCGCTCCGAGCTCAGTGGGAGGTTTGGATGACTAGCGGTGAAAAACCGTTTACCAGAACTGTCTGCCAGTGGATCCTGACAGCAGAGCAGTGTCAAAAAATCCTGTGTCACCAACGGGCTTCGAAAGGCTGCTGCATGATGAAGAGGACAGCACAAGCTGTCCTCCATCCTCCTTCAAAGTGCGCAGGAGGAAGGTGAAGATAGTGATCAGTGACTTCCTGGTAGGCTACTGTATTTTATTTTTTAACCAGCCGTGTTACAGGCACTGTTCGGAAAAAAACATTTACTGTACATATTTTATTTTTACATATATTTATTTAGTGAATGCGGCTTATATTCCTGTGTGCTCAATAGTCTGGAAATTATGGTATGTCAAAGGTATACATACAGTATATCTTTATAGGTATACAGGTATAGGAAAAACATCCTGTCTCAGTTTGAACTTGTCACCAAAAAAGCAGAGTCAGGACTTCTCTGAAAGAAGCTCTAAGACACTGATCTCCCTAAGGCTTGTTCATTCACAGTGCACGGCTCTGCTATACGAGTGCTAACTTACGTTGCCTTTAACCACGTAGTTTATGTCCGTGGTGATGTCTCTGGCCAGGCCAAAATCACAGATTTTTGCCACTCTTCCTTGAGTCAGCAGGATGTTTCGGGCAGCAAGGTCTCGGTGAATACACTAAACAAAAACATAACATTGTTAAAAAACTACCTGAGAATACACTGGCAACTGACTGAACTAGATTAGTAATGGATGATGTGTTTTTTCTAATGCACTTTGGTGCAGAATTTTCCATGTGGGACTCTGTAACCCACAACCAACCACTGACACTGAGACACAGGCTGGTCACAGTATCTGTGCCTCCACAGCAAATCAATTTTTCAACAACTTGCCTTAACATGCATTTTAAATCAGTTTATTATCTGTGGAAACTGGATCAGTGCTCTCCCCCCCCCCCCTACACACACATAAAAGTCATTGATCAGAGCAGAGTTTCATCGGAAGACAAAATCCATTTGGAAATGGTAACAATGAATTTGCGCAGTCAAGCAGAAGCTCACATTTTTGGAAGCCAAGAACTCCATGCCTTTGGCCACTTGGTATGAGAAGCTGAGAAGATCCTCAGTATCTAGAGACAAACCATCCTCATCAAACATCTTGTTCTCTTCATCAGCTTCAACAGTTGTTCCTGGGAGAAAAGCAGAACAAAAATGATTGTTTCTGCTGGAATATGTTATCTGATTTTTTTAAAACTTGGACAGTCAAAGTTTAATGAATGGCTGGCTTGCCTTTGCGTGGCGAGTGTTTCCTCTCAGAGGACAGGCTGATCGGTGGGTTGCCAGCAGCAGAAGGCCTCATGGCCATATAGCCGTTCAAGCTGTCACTGTGAAGAGGAAAGGAGCAGTCTGGTCTCAGCTGAGAGCTGCCACACATACACATGCTGCCATCTAAATATCCTCCTCCTACACATGTTCTGGATATTAAATACTCTTACATTTTTATCTTCTAATGAACCACATTTTATACACAAAAAATTAACCTTACCCTTGGGAAATTTTTTGCTGCATGATGTTGCGGTAGTAGTAGTCCCTTTCGAGCTTGCAGCAGATGAAGGAATCTCTTTTTCTGCGGAGAAAATTCAGAAGGTCTCCAAAGCAGCAGTATTCTGTGATCACCAACGTGGGGCCTGCAGACAAAAGAATCACATCTTAGAGAGCTTTTCCTAAATCTATTACACATGTATCTATATTTACATAGAACGGAGCGTGAGATGGACAGACAGATTGGTGCGCGCCTGCAGTATTGTGGACTCTGTGCCGGTCTGTTGTGGTGAAGAGGGAGCTGAGCTGTAAGGCAAAGTTCTCTGTTTACCAGTCGGTCTACGTTCCTACCATCACCTATGGTCACAAACTCTGGGTAGCGACTGAAATAAAGAGATCGTGGATACAGGAGGTTGAAATGAGTTTCCTCTGCAGGGTAGCTGGACTCTTCTTGGAGACAGGGTGAGAAGTTCAGTTATCAGGAGAGACTCAAGAGTAGAACCACTGCTCCTCCACATTGAGAGGAGCCAGTGGAGGTGGTTCAGGCATCTGGTAAGGATGCTTCCTGGATGCCTCCCTTGGGAGGTGCTTCAGGCATGTTCAACTGGGAGGAGACCCCGAGGAAGACCCTAGACATGACAGAGAGACTACGGCCCTCGGTTGGCCTGGGAAAGCCTTGGTGTCCTGCCAGAAGAGCTGGAAGAGGCGGCTGTGGAAAATTATGTCTGGACCTCCCTGCTCAAGCTGCTGCCCCCGAGACCTAATTTTAGAACAAGTGGAATATAATTGATGGATGGTGTATCTATACGGTACTTATGAAGAAAAAGTTTATTTCAGCTGCTCCCTCTTCAGTGGTTGCCACAGTGAGTGAACTTGCATGAAAGATTTGGCAATTATTTTACACCATCTGCCCTTCCTGTCACAAACTGGGATCGAACCTGCAACCTCAAGATTGATAGACCACAGCACTGACCACCAAGCTACCGCACCCCTATCTATACTTATGTAGCAAAAAGAGCCTAAATCAATGATACAAGACAAGATGGCTGCCTCACCTCCAACAGTGCAGGCTCCCAGCAGGTTCACAATGTTTATATGATTTCCCAAGTAGCTGAGAACTTTCAGCTCTGACATCAGTGCCTCTTTTTCTGTGGCATGAGCACTTGCTGTTGAAGAAAAAGAAAACATTTTAAAACTTTACATAAGGATTTGGAGCAAAGTTAGCACGTGTTGGAATGAGACTGTCAGTTTTTTTGCTGTTAAGAGAATATTGTATGTTCTTGCTGCAGGCTGATTACAGTAAAAGGTTAAGGGTTTAATGTTTAAGGTTAAAGAAACAAGAAGGTTAATGGTTTAAGGTTAAAGGTTTAATGTCTGTTTAGCAGCAACGTGCAAACCATCAAGCAAAGTTATCCAAATAGCAGTTTCTGAACACCTGCAGCCATAGAACCTCTTTAAAAAATGGAGGTGCTGTGCACACAAACTACGGTAGTAACTGTTGGGCTTTATTTGCATGAGTGCTGTCAGAGCTTACATTTGAGCATCTTCACAGCCACCGTCATGACTGAATCTGCCGTGGACAGTCCGTATGCAGTGGCTTCTACCACTTTTCCAAATGCTCCAGATCCCAGCGTCTTTCCTGTGAGCAAGAAGAGAAGTCACTTTTAACTTTTATCCATTTCCCCCAACTCCAGAGTCTCCAGGACAACAGTTTGAGTCCCCAGGCTGTGAATGCAGTCACCAGGACATGTAGGATCCTGTTTGATGTTGGCTGTTAAAAAGAACTCCCAGAATGTGTCAACAAAGAGCTGTGGAACGGGTTATTCAGTGACAACCGCTCAGATAAAACCTTAACGTTTAGTCAAATGCAGAAAACAAAGTGAGTCGGTGTGAAACACCTTGAGGGTGACAGCTACAGCATGATGTCATGGAGACATCTGTTTGTTTGTCTTGTCATTTTCTCATCTATTGAAGTCAATGCTCCCTTATCTCTTCATCTTGCTGCTGCTACTTTGATTTATGCTGACGACATGACAGGAACACCCACAGCAGGGAACTAAATACAATGATGTGTCTGGGATGATGGACTGATGGAAATAAAAGGTGGCTTCCTTAAAATACCTGCTGTTACTGGAGAAAAAGTGTAAAACACTCACCAAAACGCAAGTTGTTTCTCGGGAACTCCCACTGGTGGTCGTATGGGAGCTGTGATGGGTCGATGTACACATAGTTGTTTCCGTGGATTGCTTCAATAACTTTCCATTGAATGTGATATTTGGGTTTCTAACGTGAACGCAAAGAAAAAAATAAACGGCATGTTTTTGCTCAGATGACAGTCAGAGGAAAGTGAAGTACTGTCTTACCTTCAGGTATTTGCAGAACAGCACGATAAGGATGAGGCTGAGAATGCATGCTACTGATACAGATCCAATCAGCAAAGGAGCGAACAGATTGTGGGGAACTCTTATTTCTACAGGACAGAAATGATAAAACACAAAAATAAAGCTTGACGATAAGAGTAATGACAAAGCATATCAAGGAGTCACTGTCACTGGTTTGTCACATTTACATTATAAAGGAGAATAAAAAGAGGAAAATTGGTATTTCTTTGGGGCAGCACAGTGGTGCAACTGGTAGAGCTGCTGCCTCTCAGCGAGCAGGTCCTTGGTTCAAACCCCGGTCCAGGGGCCTTTCTGGGTAGAGTTTGCATGTTCTCTCCGTGCATGCGTGGGTTTTCTCCAGGTACTCCAGTTTCCTCCCACAGACCAAAAACATGCATGTTAGGCTGATTGGTAACTCTAAATTGTCCCTAGGTGTGAGTGAGAGACTGAATAGTTGTTTGTCTCTATGTGTCCCTGTGATGGACTTGCAACCCGTCCAAGGTGTCCCCCACCCCTCGCACAGTGATTGCTGGACATGGGCACCGGTGACCCCCGTGACCCAAAATGGAATAAGCGATAATGGATAATGGATGGTATTTCTTTGATGTTTCTCGAGTGAGGTTTTATTTATTTTAATTTAATAGTCAGTGTCTTATCTACAGTAGAAAGCAATCAGAGATTCCAGTTTAGAGCATCAAACTGACATTTTCATGTTGGAGCTCAGAACTTCTTACACCTCTCATGGTTGATTTGAGTCTTGTCATGTCTGTGTGTTTTGTTGTTCTCTGTTTGTTTCTGTGTTTTGTTTCTCATGTCTTTCTGTTACATTTCTCATCTTTCCCTCTGTCAGCCTTTTCAGAACTTTTCCTCAGTCTGCTACTTCCACCTGCTCTCAGTCATAATCACCCCAAGTGTTCGTCATTTTGTCTCATCAGTCTCCCTTTAAATAATGTCTTAATCTGTGTGTCCCTCGTCTGTGGATTGCACTTCACACAGCTGTTCATCTGTCTCCTCATAGTCACTATTCATGTAAGTTTTGCTGCGACGACAGCTTTTGTTTTTGATGTTAATAAATAACTTTGTTTTTATGTCTGAGTTCCTCAAATCTGTCTGCTCCTTGGTTTCAACAATGCAGAACATAAATCTTTCCATTGAGAATTGAGTTCATTGTGGGCAAAGATACACACTGCCAGGATTAAAAATGTTTTGTTTTAATCCCATCTGCCATGTTCTTTAAACACTTCATCCATCCATCCATTATCTTTACCCGCTTATTCCATTATGGGTCACGGGGGTCGCCGGTGCCCATGTCCAGCAATCACGGTGCGAAGGGCGGGGTACACCCTGGATGGGTCGCAAGTCATCACAGGGCCAGGTTGAGAGGTACCGACTAGATACAGTTGGGCTCACCTCGACGCACAGCATGGATTCTGGAACCAATCTTCTTGAGAGTGGCTGGACCTTATTCCACTCTGGAGTTGGCCATGGTGAGAGGCACCAAGCTGGTGTGGGTCTACCCTTAGCCTCCCAACGTGGTGCCTGTGTGTTGGAGTTTTCTCCGGTAAATGAGAAGCATAGCTTTCCTTCACCTTTGGGTGATCGGACAGGCTCTGATGCTTGTTTGTGCCTATGCGCCAAATGGCATTTTAGAGTATCCGGCCTTCTTGGAGTCCTTAGAGGGCATGCTGTAAGCTGCTTCAGCTGGGGACTTCAATTTCCACATAGGTAACAACAGTGTGACCTGGAGGGGCATGATTGTGAGGAACGGCCTCTCTGATCTGAACCCAAGCGGTGCTCTGCTGTTGGACTTCTGTGCTAGTCATGATTTGTCCATGACAAACAAACGAAGGTTCATAACACCGGGAACTTAAGGGTGTCCATAAGCACAATTGGCACTGGGATACACTAAGTCATAGATCAATTATTGATTTTGTAGACATGCCATCTGATCTGCAGCTGTTTGTTTGACACTCAGGTGAAGAGAAGAGCTGAGCTGTCAACTGATCACCACCTGGTATAGTGAGCTGGGTCAAATGGCGGGGAAAGATGCCGGACAAACCCAGTAGACTCAAATGTGTGGTGAGGGATTGCTGGGAACGCTTGGCTGAAGAACCCATCAGAAAGCTCTTTAACTCACACCTCTGAGAGAAATTTAACTGCATCCCAGCTAAGGCTGGGGACATTGAGTCCAAGTGGGCCATGTTCTACGCCTCAGTTATTGAGGTAGCTGCCTTGAGCTGTGGTGGCAAGGTTGCCAGTGCTTATTGTGGTGGCCATCCTTGAACTTGGTAGTGGACACCAAAGAGTCCTATCAGCCTTGTTGCCTGGAGGGATTCCGGAGGCAGCTGAGGGGTACCAGAGGGTCAAGCAGGCTGTGGCCTTGGCTGTTGCTGAGGCAAAAGCTCAGGTGTGGGAGGAGTTTGGTGAGAGGAAAGCAGTACTTTATTAACATTGTGTTCAGTGAAGGTGGGGTGCTGTTGACCCTAACCTGTAATGTCGTTGGGACGTGGAAGGAATACATCTCAGACCTTCTCAATCCCACGGTACATTTTTCATAGAGGAAGCTGAGTTAAGGGACTTTGGGGTTGGTCTTTCCATGACTGGTTCAGGTTGCCGAGGTAGTCAAAAAGCTTGGTGGTAGGGCTCCAGGAGCGGATGAGATTTGCCCTGATTTTAAGACCCTGGATTTTGTGGGGCTGTCTTGGTTGACATAATGTTGCGTGGACAGTGCCACTGGATTGACAGATTAGGGTGGTATTTCTCCTCTTCAAAAAGGGGGACTAGAAGATGTGTTCTAGATCCAGGAGGAACAATGTGGGTTCTGTCCTGGCCATGGAATGCTGGACCAGCTCTTTACCCTAGGGTCCTTGGGGGGGTCATGGGAGTCTGCCCATCCAGTCTAGGTGTTTTGTGGATTTGGAGAAGGTGTCAACCATGTTCCTCAAGGTACACTGTTGCTATAGGCTGTGGTTGAGAGGAGCCAGACGAGGTTGTTTGGGAATTTGGTAAGGATGCTCCCTCCATGCCTCCCTAGGGAGGTGCTCTGGGCATGACCGACTGGGAGAAGACCCCGGGAAGACGCAGGACATACTGGAGAGGCTGTCTCTCGGTTGGCCTGGGAATGCCTTGAAGTCCTCCCCAGAAGAGCTGGAAGAGATGGCTGTGGAAAGAAATGTCGAGGCCTCCCTGCTCAAGCTGCTGTCCGACTTCGGAACAAATGGAAGATGACGGATAGACGAACGAGTTTTCTGAATTGTCACGCAGAAATTTCAGACTTTTAAATACAAACAGAGTATATGCTATGAGGCTAATAATAGTATCCTACCGCTATTCAGCAGTGACTTCCAGTTTCACTGGTTTAATCCTAAAATTAAAACCACAGACAGTGATGTTGAGTTACAAAAGCAAAGACAAAGCTAATTTTCTCAGAAAACGAACTAAATATATGTAGTTCATGTTCTATAGATAAAAACAATGTTTAGAGAGGCAAAACAATCCCTGGCAAACTAAGTAAGTAATAGCAATAAGTTAAGCAGATGCAATACAGGCAGTTAGTGCTGTGACACAAACGTATTTAGGTTGGAAAAATAGTTATACTGTCAGCAACCTTTACACACTAATGTGGTGTAAATATACTTAAACTAGAATTTACCTGTAATACTAACAAATTATTGTGTTCATGTTGCTCTAGAAAACAAAAATTAGCTTTTGAATGATCCCTACTGAGTAACATGGTGCTTGACTCCCTCATGAGATTTTTTTTTTTTTATTATTATTTCCACACTCGGATTACTTTGAACTAGTTTTCTAATAAGTGTTCTCCACACAACACTACTTAAAAACATAATCTAAAGATAAATTACAGTAAACCCCATTTTGGTCAAACAGCAACTAATCCAATTACACAATCATACAATTCACCTCTTTTATTCTTAGTTTGCACATTTCACAGTCTATTTTGTTTAATGCTTGAATCCCATTTGATGGCACACTAATTGTTTATTGCCGTTGTTTTCACAGCTGTGCTGGCTAGTAATTGTATGTAATGAGTGTTCTGTTCCTTTGTGTCTGGCTGCATGTGTGATGCCTCATTGTTTTGCTCCTCTGTACACACTGTGGTATAATAAGCTCTTTAGTGATAAGAAGCTTTCTCTCCACTTCAAATCTGAGAATGCAGAGTCTGCAGGAACTAATCTTCTGTAAACCTGTCAGTGGTTTGTAAAGCTTTGTTTTCTTTGCTGCAGCTCACTGACACCTCCAAGCCTCACACAGAGCCACTGATGCCCACCACCAAGACTCCTACTGTGCACCACGGTCTCAGTGCCTTTGCCTGGTCTGTTGGTATTATGTGCACAAAAATCCAGGGAGAAGCTCCCAAAAGGCCCGTCCTGTACAATTACTTGCCATCTTCACAATGCATGTCCACTAACAGTTAGCCTCCAATAGGTCCTGCATAAACGAAGGTCTGCAGGTTCAGGCAAGGACCACTTTGGTGTACTTTCAGTCCCTGTGCTCACTACTCTGAGGACATTGTGCAGCAGATGGAACAACCGTTGCAGGAGGGCGGATTTAAAGCGAAGTCATAACATACACAAAGGACTAGAGATAATTCTTATTTGTAAGTGACATAAAATTGTGTCCAATCATTTTTGAGGCAGTAGACCCAATCAAGATTTATTATTGGATTCAGGGTTAATCTCTGTCAAAATTGTTGCTTTTAGTAAAAATATTTAGAGCTGAGGATTTATCTCTTACTGAGGAGCAGATTCATTGCATTAAGTAAAGACTTTAGACAGTCACAAGCAGAGTTTAATATAACAAAATGGTTGTAAACGGTTGTTATTGAACTTAAACTCAACCTGAATGTGAGGCTGTGCAGAGGATTACATGAATTCAACAACAAAATGTGAGACGATTGACCTATTCTTATCGGCTGAGATGTGGCTGAGTAAAATCTGTTTTTGTGACAATGTATAAATGTGATGCCAATTTACCATTAATAGAAAAGAGAGTAAAAGCTTGTTCTCCATCCGCAGTAGCCACACACTCCAGGAAATTGAACCGTCCTCTGCTGATGTTCACTCGACTCTCCACCTTCGTCCTCTCAAACGGTCGGCTGAACAATGTGACAGTCATGACATTGTGCTCCTCTTGGGAGGCATTTATTTGCTCAGAACACCTGAGAGCAGAAAATAGTTTAAAATGCATTTATTTGGAATGAGCTGATGGGATCAGTTATTTCATAAATGCATTCGGCCAGATCACATAGATTTATTTCTTATGTTTCTGCAAATCAAAAGTTGTTTCTTAATACAGTAAAATATTTTTTAAATAAAAAAAGTGTGTTGTAGAAAAAATAGAACCACAAAAACATGTACAAGCATTTAACTATTTTGCCAAATGTTAAGTTTCACAAAAAAGTGAACATAGAGGGGAATTGTGTGTTTGTCAAATAAAGATGAAAAGTGTCGAAGTGACACTGAGACTCCATTAACCATGACGAGCTCTAAACAGGTGTTTTCTTGTGATAGGCTCACACAGGTTATGTGACTTCCTCTTTCTGTCTAAACACTCAAACACGTCATGAGAGTGTAATGAACATTAACTGGATGTGAAAACATTTTTTTAAAGTCTGGATAAAGTTGTATTTTTACTTATGATTCAAAGAACTTACAGCTACAACAACTAGGTGCTACTCCGTCAATGCCCTTTATGTTCGACACATAATAAGCCTGTTGCAGTTGTATCCAGGCAGATGTGCCAATCTGTTCTTTCCAATACCCTGTCACGTTGGGGCTCATCCTATCATTGTCAGCCAATCACAACTCAGCACCACCAAATCCCACAATTTTTCATTTCAGCATCATAGTATTTTGTGACTCGACCCAGTGTAACTTTAATGTGGCCTCAGAACCATTGTGATGAATCTTTAGAAGTGTTAAGTTTGAAATTCAATAAAATCTGGGTCAGTGCTAAGTCATTTAATGGTCTCTAATGCAAATGAGGTACTTGTGTCTCGACATGACTAACCTGGACAAAAAAAGCAAATGAATGCGTGACAACCGTCTTTACTGACATCAACTTCCAAAGCATCAAGTTACTTTAAATTAATTACTTCTTGTTATTTTCTATCTGATCAATGTGCATAATTAAATAGAAGCCATCCCTAAACTTTGACTTGGGTTTGGACATTAGACAGATTTTCAGAACGGCCACACTCACTGAGACAGAGAGAAAGGCTCAAACAAACAGAAATGTTTATGTCTTTGGTGGTAAATCTTGTTTTCATGTGATTTAACGACAACTGAAAAAAGCTTTTAGAAACTTGTAAACTCACCTGATGTATGGCAGCTCACAGTAGTACCATTTGATCTGGGGGGCAGGGAAACCTTTAGCCACACAGCGCACCTGTCCGTCCACCGGGCCTTCATGAGATACAATCTCAGGTTTACCTGAGGAACAAGCAGTAACATCAGAGTGAGGCAGGTAAGAAGTTTCAAGCCTAACAGAAGTATTAGAACACACTGTGGTGTGGAGGAAAACTACAAAAACCAGTATGAGGTACAGCTGGAGGGTTTGGTGAGTGGCTTGGTCTCATTTTACACTCAGAAAAGCTCGAACCCTCGTTATTTGTTGAAGATTAATGCAGTGTTACGAAATAGAGTTTATGATGTGGCTTAAGGAAACAGAAAACCTTTCACAACTTACTGATTATAAAGATGGTGAACGTCTGATTAACTGATGCGTCACTGTTGGATGCTTGAAATGTATAAATGCCACCTTCTGACGCTTTCAGCCGCACCAGCCTCAGCTCACTGCTGAAACTAAACATGACATAATCACCATGTTAGCATGAAGGAATTACTGGCTAAATACGTTTTAAATTTCAAAGTAAAATTCCTTTGTAGTTGTGTTAACTGTGACAAACGCAAAAAGAACAAATACTAATTTAGTTCAGCCAGAAAAGTTATTTACATGTTTTAATATTTGATATCAGGATTTCTGGGTGGTCTGTTTTTTTACACATCTGCATAACATTTGCTTTAGTGAGTCAAGTCCAAGTGAGGCCTGAAGGTCACATCCTAATTCTTCCCACATCAGCAGGAATAAAATTGGTATTTCTTTTTTGCAACACCTAAGCAGGTCCTGACTGAATTTTCTGTAAATGTCAATGGCCATCTGTAATCTGTTTGGGATTGATTCACAAGGGACCCAGGGGTGAGACTGTTCTCTCCAGCAGTTTTTCTCACAGTGCTGTGACCTGCATCCTGCCCAAAGGTGCTACATTCCTTTGTACCTAAGTCATGATCCTCTCCTATGTGTGGCAGGACTTAATGCTTGTGTTCTCACCTGTAGTCATTCTGGTATGTGCTGATGGTGTGATCAGTTGTGTTTCTCATTTTGAGTTCGTCAAAGCTCCAGGAGAAGGTGTGCGGCTTTGGGTATGCCTTTATGTTAACTGTCAGGGACAAGCTGTCCCCTGAACGGACGCGGAAAGTTGTGTTGTTTATGGGCAATAAGCTCATAAATCCTCTTTCTGCAACAATAAAGAATGAGATTAGTGCCAAAACCTGTTGATAAAAACATAAGTCTGTACTTGAGTCAAAAGCATTTCATCACTGCTGCTTCGGAGACTGACTGGTGAATCTGTAATTTATGTTGCAGCAAAGCAGTTTTTGAAACAGGACAAGATAAGACATGCAAAATCACTAAGTGTGAACGGCTTAAGTGCAATTTTATCATTTCATGAAAAAAACAACAACTTTCATGTCTAGTAGGTTGTGAGAAAAGTTCCAAAATCTCAATTTAATAATTCATTACTGAGATTTATCCCTGAAATTAGCTTTAAAATTAATTAGAGTGCTTTTTTCATGTTTTATCAGGAGTTAGGTTAGAAAAATAAAAGGTTTGTCATGTCTTAATGCATTGTTTTGTTAAATTACTGAAGTTCTGTTAACTTATTTCAGCTGGTTTGATTTGAAAAGACTTTCTTTACAAATCTTACGATTAAAACAACATCCTCTTTACCCCCAGTGGCATCATTACCTGGTGCAAGTGGGAAAAAGAAAGGAAAAACAAAACTGTGCTGTTAAATTTGTTTTGCTTGTGATTTTATGCTATTGTATTTAAAGAGACTAAAAATTTAGTAGAATGACAGTTTTAAAATCCTGCACATTTCTGTTCAATGTGTTTCAGTTTTCATAAATTATGTAAACAAAGATTGCAAAAGAATTGGGAGGAACAGCCCTCTTTGAAACTCTTCTTCACACACACATCACAGTAGAAACATCTGTAAAGGATGCACGCGTCACACAAACATGGATCATTATCATTTTGATGTCTTTATTTGTTACCAGTAGATTTTACCACAAAATCCATCCATCCATCCACCCATCCGTCCATCCACCCATCCGTCCATCCATCTATTCATCCATTATCTTTACTCGCTTCTTCCTTTTCGGGTCATGGGGGTCACTGGTGTCCATGTCCAGCAGTCACTGTGCGATAAGCAGGGCACACCTGGACAGGTCTCCAGTCCATCACAGGGACACATAGAGACAGACAACAATTCACTCTCACTCACACCTAGGGACAATTTAGAGTTACCAATCAGTCTAACATGCATTCATTCATTCAGCCTTTATTTAAACAGATAAGTCACATTGAGCCTCAAAGACTCATTTACAAGTGAGACCTGTTTGGACAGACATAAAAAGTGGTGAAAAATGACACAGGGTTTGGAGACAAAAAAAACAATTCCTAACACTCTCTTAATCTTTAGTTGAAGGTTAACAGTGTGATAATGAAAAAAATCTCCCACACAAACTCAGAAAGGCCCCCAGCCAGGATTTGAACTGGCAACCTTCTCGCTGAAGGGCAGCAGCTCTACCAACTTCACCATCGTGCTGCACTTTTCAAGTTCAAGTAGGTTTATTGTCGTTTCACCACATGTGGTACATGAGGTGGAACGAAATGATACACTGAAGGTCACAGTTACATCCAACGATAGCAAAAATATAAAGTGTAAAAAGAAACAGTATATAAGGATCTAAGATATACACGTTAAACACTAATAATGTAAAACAATACGGCGTAACAACAGCAGCCCGAACATGAGTCTGTGTGAGCAGATGAATGAACGCAGCAGCATGAAATAACTTTAAATTTTATCTCAAAATGTTCAACTTAAAGAACTATAATGTAGCACAGTAACTTTTAGGTTATCTACATTCTCTGAAATGTTTGCAAAGAAACTCCTTTTAGTCTCAAAACTTTTTTTTTTCATAGTAAATATACAAATGGTATATCTAAACATAAGTATTTTTGTCTTCTTTCTCGTAGTGTGTCTTATGACTCTAGGACTTTTTTTCCAAGGTGGCATGGTGGTTCAGATGGTTAAGCTGCCACTTAACAGAAAGAAGTTTGCCGGGTCCAATCCCGACCCAGGACCTTTCTGGGTTTGCATGTTCTCTTTGTGCATGTGTGGGTTTTCTCAGAGTACTCCGGTTTCCTCCCACAGACCAAAAACATGCATGTTAGACTGAATTGTCCCTAGGTGAGAGAGTGAATGGTTGTTTGGCCCGTTTGTCTCTATGTGTCCCTGTGATGGACCGGAGACCTGTCCAGGTGTCCTTGTGATGGACCGGAGACCAGTCCAGGTGTCCTTGTGATGGACTGGAGACCTGTCCAGGTGTCCCTGTGATGGACTGGAGACCTGTCCAGGTGTCCCTGTGATGGACTGGAGACCTGTCCAGGGTGTCTGTCCCATGTCTCACACAGTGACTGCTGGACATGGGCAACAGTGACCTCGTGACCCAAAAAGGAAGAAGCGGGTAAAGATGATGGATGGACGACTCTTTTTTCCTCAGATCTCTTCAGAGTGTGCACATCATTGACTTTCTTTATTTACCTCTGTCTTTTCCTTCCAAATTTGGAAATAAAGAGTCTTTTTAACTTGTCGCATCTCTGTTAATAACAAAAAATGTTTTTTTACATTGCGACAGTTTGTTTGAGGTTTAGTTTTTAGTTTGTGTTTCCGTCTGCCTAGTTAATGATTAGAGCTTCTGTTATTGTATTCCATCATGACAGCCTCAAAAACCCTGTATTTTTTAACAGTTTTGTCATGTTATAATATTCAAATTCAAGAGTAATAGTAAGATTTTGTGAACTTGTGTATTTAAAGCCCTCTAAACGTTAGGGGAAAAGGTACAAGGTTCGAATATAAAAAGCTCATAAAAACATAAAATCCTGGTGCCTTTACAGCTTAGGAAATGACAAAAGCAAATCCAAATAACCATGAGGCTACATGGACAAAAGTTAATTTCTGCTGCAGTGGTATACATCCAATTATTTTCTGAACTTTTCCAGCTTGATGTAAATTGTTTAAACATCCGAGTAAAATCAAACTTTCCATTGACTCTAAAAAAGCAAATGATCGCAGATCCTAAAATACCAAGCACAACTTTTTAAATAAGGTTGAAAATTTAAAGTGGACATTTGCAATTTCTCAAGGAAGTCAAAACAAAAACAGCGTGCCTTCACTGTCTGGAAAGATTATAATTGTGGGCAGAATTCCATCACTGCAGAAATAAGTTTCAGCTCTGACCCCAAGATACTTTGTGTTAGTTTGTCTTCTCACCATAAACGTCGAGCCACACCGACTTCGTGCTGGTCCCCTTTTCATTCCTAGCTTCACATTTATAACTTCCAGTATCTTCTGGACGTACTGCTGCTATTTTCAGCGTGGCACTGCGTACATGAGTGTAGTCCTCCATCAGGATACGTGAAGCGCCATCAACCTTTGCTGGTTGCTGTGGATACCAGACGGCACCCTGTCAACGCCCAGAAATCTCCAGAGATTAACCCCGGATGCATGTCTATCCTTGCCAAGCAAATACTGACAAACACATAAAGATTCCTGCATGCGAGCGTGCACAGACAGTGCATTTCACAAATACAGTCCACAAGGTACACAAACAGCCAGGACTCCTATGCACAAGCAGAATGAACTGTTTCACGCTTGCACATTTGAACAGACAACCAAAAACATAGCAGAAGAAGACTCGGCTCTCAGCGAGAGGACAAACAGTTTTTGGAAATACCAACATTCCAGTGCGTCTCAACAGCAAAGCTAAAACAAACAGGTCTCACCGAGCCAGGTGGGATCACCCACTTCAGAGTGATCTCTCCATTCACGTTAGTGGTGTTGCAGGAGAGGAACAGACTCTGGTTCCGAACAAGAACGACTCTACTGGGCTGCTTCATCGCAATTACAGGAGGATCAACAGGTACTGAAAGACAAAACAGTGTGGATAAAAACTGGACTTAGAAACAAAAAGTTTTAATACCAGCTGTGAACAGTCAGGAACCATGCATTACAGAAGTACTCATTACCTGGTATTACTGTCAGGTAGTATTCCTGTGAGCTGACCCCTTCTGCCTGGAGCATTCCTGTGCACACATAGCAATCTTTGAATGACTTCTGTATGTTTGGGATGATGATGCCTTGCTCCAAGCTTGCAGAGAACTGAAGCTCAGAGGGAAGTGGTCCTCCAGAACACGTTTTCAGGCTCAGACTGCTCAGACTTGGGTCGGTTGCCAGGCAAGGGATGAAAGCAGTGCCTCCCTCACGGATAAGAAAGTTGGACACCATTGATTTTCTGAAGGGATTCAGAGGATCTGTCAAAAAAATGCAAAAGCACAGATGTTGTCAGGGAGCTGGGAGCAGAGCTTCATACAGAGATTTACAAGTTTCGTTGCTGTTTTATGTTCACTTCTTGGCACAATATGATGGGCTTTAAAATGCTGAAAATTAAAGAAACTGCTGAGGTGATTGCATATTTGTTTATTTTCTTTATCTTAATATTTTTGCTGCGGGTAATGTAATTTATTTTTTAAATAAATGTTTTGCTCTTTTACACTATTATTGCAATCTGCTACAAAAGGCAGACAATAAAGTAACTGTTCCTGCATGAGTGTGAGTTTGTCTATTAGCAAAATATCATGAACTATTTGACAAATTTTAATAAAACACAAAGTAATAATTTGATGATCATTTTTAACTGACTGGCCTTTTTGAACCAACCTGATTCATATTTTTAATGCTAATCAACCTTGCAAACATTAAAATTTCTCCCAAAAAGAAACTGTCCAGATGACATGATTTAACCCTTTTTGTGCCCATTCTATAGATATTGGGCTAAACCTTGGTCTAGTTCTGACTAAGATTCATCCCCTTCCACATACTGCAGGAGCTAACAAATGTAAAGTTTAAAACAAAACATCTTTGTACCTTGGCAGGAAAAATGATGACACACTATCCTTTAGGGGATGCAATTTTAATTAGGATCTGTTTTTTGTTTTTTTAACAAATGAAATGGATACGTTTTTTAAAAATACAATCATTAAAATATTCTCACAGTTTTTAAACATGTGGTTAAGTCTTCTTGGAGAAGATGACAGACAGAACTGATAAATCTAAATGTGTAGAGAGGATTTGTTGAAAAGACTGGCAGAAGAAAGATCTTCAACTCACACACCCAACATTCATTCAACCTTTATTCATACTGGTTCATCCCATTGAGCCTCAGGGACTCATTTACTAGAGAGACCTGATTTGTGACATTGTGGAGAAGCTACGATGACATCTAAAACATCTGAGTGCTCCCAGCTGAAAAAAACAACTGTTTTATTAACAACAGCAAGCCCAACTGGATCTTTGTCACAAAGTATGTTTTATACCTTCACAATAACTTCATATAATTCTTAATGTTAATCTCATACAACAATCATGCAAAACAGCTAGATGTTATAGAAGGAAAATATATTTGGCACAACTAATGAGGATCCAAACTAGACCTGAAATAAGTCAAGAATTAATGACTCAATGATATAATGTGATGTCAATCAGGAGGAACAATCTTGGTTTCGTCTCAGCATTGGAACAATGGACCAGCTATTTATTCTTTCTAAGGTCCTTGAGGGGGCATTTGCTCAAAGGAAGTTTGATCAACCAGTCTATATATTTTGTAGCTTTGGAGAAGGCCGTTTAACCAGGGGAAAAGGAGTCTGGTGGTATAGTGAACTCAGGAGTTTGTCTGATTGTCTCGCTAATTTGATGATGTCGCCTATTGACAGATGATCCTTTTAGCATCACTGTGCTGTGATCCCCAGCTCTTACTGAAGCAGTTTGCAGCCAAGTCTGATGCAGCTGGGATGAAGATCAGCATCTCCAAATCTAAGAATATCCCAAGGAAGAACCAGGCCATGCTGGAGATACTATGCTATTCTGCTGGCCTGAGAACTCCTTGAAGCCTCTCGGAAGAGTTGAAGGATGTGATTGGGGAAAGAGATGTTTGGGCTTCCCAGCTCACGCTGCTGTCCTCGTGACCCAACTCCGGAACAAGCAGCAGATAATGGCTTGCTTTCCTTGGACTGCATTTAACCTGCTTTGACAGGGGAGGCAGCTCAATATAAAATATAATATAAACCTTAAAGGTTACCATTTTAATAAACCAGTCACTAGAGAGTACAAGCTAGTGTATCTCTTGTGCTGGTCTTAAGCCTGGGCAAATGGTGATGGTTGTGTCAGGAAGGGCATTTGGTATTAAAAAAAAGCTTTTGCCAAAACACATGTGGCTTCATTCAAATGTCACCATACTGGATCGGCTGATGCCTGTTTAACAACGGCCGCCACTGGTGTAGCTGGCAGAGCGCTAGCAGAAACTGTTAGTCAAGATCACAAGGAGGGAAACATGCCTGGAGACAGAAGGAGAAGAGGAGAGTCGAAAGTGCAGGACTGAGGGTGGCAACTCTAAAAGTAGGCATAGTGACAGATAAAGGTAGTGAACTGGCTGACATGATGCAGAGAAGGAAGGTATTATGTGTGAATAAGACCAAGTGGAAGGTCAGATAGGGTCAAAGCATTGGGGCAGGGTTGAATGTTTTTTACTGTGGTGAAGAGAAATAGAGTTTGAATGGTCATGAAAGAACAGTTTGCAAGGTATGTAGTAGAGGTGAAACGTGTCAGATAGGACGATGTCTGAAAATATAAGTAAAAGGTCTGATGTTGAATATCATCAGAGGTTACGCTTCACAGGTTAGATGTGAGGTAGAAGATAAATAAATTCTGGCAGGATCAAGAAGACAAAGTAATATGGAGCAAAAACTGTTCCTGAGCAAAAATATTAATGAGGTGAACATTCGTTTCCTGAATCATTAAACACACAAATTTTACAGTTTGCCTTAAATTTTGAGCAGAAAACAGAATATTTATGTAATTGTAATTGTTTGAGGGGTGGGGGGTGTTGCACAAAGTTGTCACCTGTTCTTCCTCTCCTTCATGGTTGTGTCTTGTGAAGCCAATCTGGTCTAATATTTAAATCAGAGAAACGGACACCTCCTGAAACCAAATCCGTTCCCACCCGAAACGTAAATATTTGTCTTCTTTTTTTTATTTATTCAACCTTTATGTGTACAGGTAGTCTCACTAAGTCAGGAGGACTCATTTTCAAGAAAGACCTGTTTCATTTTTACTGTAAAATAAAACAGACAGGCACAGTTTTCTTATTTGAATTTTTGAATTGTTGTTTTAAGTAATACCTCTACAATAATAAACAAAATTACAATTATTTTATAAAAGTTTTTCACCAATTAATTTTGTTAAACAATATCAAATTAAAGAAATGATAATAGTTTATGTCTTAACCTCTTTACTTCAACGCTCTGCTCAGGACTCAAACCTGCAGATTCATGATTTAAAGACAGATTAACACTGAGCCATCGCAGCCTTACACTTTGTTAAATAAGATCCTGTCATTTTGAAGAAAATGTCCCTTTTTATGTCTCTTCAGTCCTCAGTTTTCTTTCTTCTGTTCATGTTCAGTCATAATTTGTGAATGATCATGATTGAGGAGTGAATTGTAACAAAAGGGTGGAAGCAAAGGTCAGAGGAAAGGTTTACAAGAGAATTGTGAGACCAGTTGTATCGTATGACCTTTGTAGTCTTTGTAAATGAGAAATGGTTCTCATCTGACGTGCCTGTCAAAATAAAGGTTATATATGGTTTGAAGATGGTGTCATTGACAAAAGACAAGAGACAGAACTGGAAGTGACAGAAATGAAGATGTTAAGGTTCTCCTTAGGAGTGACAAGGAGGGATAAGATCTTCAGAGGCACAGCAAAGGTTGAACATCTGGGAGATAAAGTTAGAGAGACCAGACTGAGATGGTCTGAACATGTCCAGAGGAGGGACAGTGGTTTGGACATGTCCAGAGGAGGGTCAGTGGTTTGGAAATGTCCAGAGGAGGGACAGTGGTTTGGAAATGTCCAGAGGAGGGACAGTGGTTTGGACATGTCCAGAGGAGGGACA